CCGGTAGTTTTTCAAGCAGCAAAATAGGACACAGCATTTCGCCATTAATCATATTTTCCTTTCGGAATGGGGGGGGGGGGGTTGGTTGGGGGATTCTATAAGATTGGGTTGGTATCACAGTTGATGTGAGGGTGCCAAATAAGGCGCCGGTTGCGAAAAACAAAAACGGAAAATCCGTCAATAACACGCCTACGGACTTGACAGCCGCACTCGATAGAAGACGCGTGGATAAGTTGCTTCCAGCATGCTTGCGGATATGACACTACAGTAAGCTTGCGAGCACCTCGTTCTCCTCACGACAATTTTGTTGGAGAAAGCGCATCCCACCTTGGGACACAGAAAGCAATGGAAAACCTTTGGAGTCTTCTGCAGCGAAAATCGCGCTCCACTTTCTCGCCTGAGAGAACTGCTGCTCCATTAAGTGCTGACACCTACTTATTAATTACGTCCATGCTCAGCGTGACCCCAACATCTATCTTCGAACCACACTTGGCAGTGGTAACGATTTTTTGGCCATCCATTTCTTGCCCTGAATTTAGTGATCAAATGGTGAATGTGGTGAGGGTGATTAGTGATCGCTTTGATGACTTTGTTCATGTTTTCAATTCGGTGATTCGGTGGGCAAGATTGTATAAGACCGCGTTAGGGACGCTTTCAAATTTCGCTGCTGATGCTTTCTGATTCTTGCATCACCAGTTACTGAACTCTCGAAAACCATCTGTGCCACTTTTCAGATACCTCAATCTTGTGCTGGATCTCCCAAATTTGCCGTGCCTCATAGATGCTGACGGCTTAGTGATTAGCTTAGCGCCAGTTACCAACAGTGATTTGACCAAGGTAACTTTTTGTACCTGCCAATCGCCTTATGCTATTGCTTGATTTAAACTTCAAATTATTCGTTGTAGATGTCCGAGGAGACGCAGTCTGTGTGGGTAGAGGTCTCGTCTCGCGAATCAATGTCGGTCTGCAAAGAGGTAACGTTGTTGTTGCTGTTGTTGTTGTTTCTCACGAAATAATATGTTACTGTAATAGCCTAGTATATTGTACTATTATTGCTCAGCTCGGAGCGTAGGCTACTTCTATACCTTGTGAATTTGCACTCAATTGCTCGTGTGAAACACAGCAGCAACCCGAGACCAATTAGTCGGGTAACGGCGGTCGAAAATAAAATTGTGGATACCGCGTTGAGGAAATGTGAAAAAGAAGCACTGTGTAAACCACTAATGCCCTTGAACAACAGTCCCCTCTTCTCCCTTGAGAAATAGGGGAGTGGCGCCCCAGATGCGTTATGGTGTATTTGAATTGGCCGCACGTCGTGTTGCGTATCATGGGGTGTGCGCAAGGTATCTCGTCCATTAGCTCACATTCGCGATAACTAGCTCACTTTGTAAGGCCCTAGCGCCATTGCCGCGCACTGCAGCCCACGACAGCGGCGAGGGGCTGTGATACTCTCAGGCTTCTCTGTCCTACGCATTGCATATATTGTTCGACACGACTTCATCTGAGGTGGGTGTTTTGGAGGCATCATGCGCGGAACACGGACGTCCCGCAAGTCGGTGACGCTATGGAGGGCGCACGGCAACTCTGCGTCCTTCCAGCAAGGTAGTGTGGACTTGCATATTCCAACTTTTCACGCATGTCACTCCTCCTCCCCCCTCCCCCCACCTCCTCGTCTGAACTGATGTTATTCCCCTGGTTCACGGATTCTTACTTTGCACTATGCCACACCCAGCGGCGGCGAGGCTCCCCTCCATTCCTCCAACAATCTTAGCAAATTCGGTACTCCAAGTTTTCTACATATTTCACAGTGACAGCCAA